AATTTTTGCGGTGGGCGCCGCAATAACCTCGGCAGCACCAATTCCACCAGCACCAACCTCGGTGGGGGCCTCAGCTGCGGCCATGCGACGGCCAGAGTGCCGGTTCATCGAGATCGAACTTGATCTCGTGGCGTTAAGAAAAGTATATGCAGAGAAAAAGCAAAGAAAACATAAAAGAAATATTAGTAAAGATAAACAAGATCAAGATAGACAAAGGCGAGCAAAGAATAAAAAAGAAAGCTACCCAGCTCAGCCACATGTTGGTATTGTAAGCCCGACAGCCCGTATAGTGATCTGAGTCGAGAACCATTGGTTAGGCATATGAGGTCGTAAGGTGTCTCATTTCAGTGAGAGATCAGATCAGCATATTAGGGGTTTGGTTTTGGTTTTCTGTGTTGATCCGGCTTTTTTGGAAATCCAGGTAGAAGAGAAATAAAGAGAATTAGGGGACGGTCGGACGAAAAAAAAAAAAAAAAATCAACTTCTAGTTTGGGACCTTGAAAACAGGGTCTGTAAGGAAAGAATCATGGTTTCTAGGACAAAAGTAGAAGAATCAGTCCGCCAAATTAAGCCACTGGTAGTAGAAAAAGAACTCGGGATCGAAGACTCGCAAGAAGAGTCAAGTCAGAATGATGAAACTGACAAGAAAGTGAATGATGTTGGTGTAAGATGATTTAAAAGAATCTGGTAGACCTGAGCTAGCTCTACAAGGCCTCTCTTCAGAAAGAATGTAAGGCCAACAACGACCTGATCCCAAAAGAAAATATAACAACCCTCGGGGGCTGGTCATAGGATTCCCCGACCACGGAAACCCTAAACTCCCATGGGTAAGGTAGTTCGGCCATATGTCTAAGGGGAGCTACTCTTTCAGGAGTCCAAAATAAAGCAGGGTTGGGTTGAGTGGGTTGTGAGCTCCTTGACCCAAAATCTATCCACCAAATAAAGAAGTTGCTCTTGAGATATTTGACATGGTGAACGAAAGATTTTTGCGTAAGGAAAAAGAAAAAATGAAGAAGGACTAGAATTTCCTAGCAAGACTCAATAAAAAGTAAGAAAGAACACAAAAGAACAGAAGAAAAAGAAAAATCATAACATACACATGAGTTAGTCCGAAAGAAGGATGAAGAAGAATATCGAGAATTGGCCGAAGTAAGGTTGCCGAAAATATTGTCGAGATGGAGATTTTTTGCAAAGAATATATAGTATATAAAAAAAAGTTATGTATGGAAGGGTGAAGAAAAGGCTTTTAAAAGCCAAGGAAAGTAATGGCCTTCAAAATTTGACCGTTGGAAGATGGGAGATTTAAGAATCTGGGCTAGAATCTAGTACGGTGTATTCACGTGTACATTGTACGTGTCAAAAAGTTGGGATCTGAGCATGCACAAAGCCCCTTTTTGGCGTCTCACGCTCTCCCAAGATTATTTAATAGTACATTGAATGAGGAAGAAGGCCAGATGCAAAGACTTAGTCACAAGAGTCCATTTCAACACAAGTCCAGTCAGCTAGTCCTGAATGGGGGACCAGATGATGTTGCACTCAGAATAGTTCGGTAGATCGACTTGAGTAGGTAGCTCGGCTAGGCCGGTCTAGGAGAGCTCTCTCGGTCAAATAGCTCGTATTTAGGCTTAAGGTACCGACCGATCTGAAGAAATACGACCTGGGGGCGTTAACCTCCAAGAGCCCGATAATATAACTGACCTCGGGATATCGAGGTCGTTTGGCCCGAAGACAGGTTAGGCATCGAGACGAGTACGGTATTGACCTTGGATGGGCCACAACAGACGGGTCAGGAGGTCGGAGTTACGACCTGAGGATCTATGGCTGAACAGGAAAAGGGCAAAAAATCCTAGTAAGAAGGAAAGAAGCACTTGTTCAAGGAATCTTGCCCGAACAGAGACGTGATAAGAATCTCTTCCCTAATAAGGACTCTCTTGAGCACCAAGATATCTATCCTATATAAGGGTAACAGGTTCTTCTTCATCACACATCGAATTCTATGCCTTTATTTACAAAATTCTCATATATAGTTATTGAGCAAGTTTTGATTTGAGCGTCAGATGTTTTTCCCCCGGGATCCCCTCTCAGCATATGGCATGTCACCGGAGCTCGTGGACTAGGGTTGTACAAAGCCTAGGCGCTCAAACCCAATTCGTGACAAAAAGTGATGTAGCAGGTTGAATTCCTAACATCCGGTCAAAACTCCGAACCTGCACACCTCCGTCGACAAGAAAGCACAAGAATGCTGGGAAATATGAAAAAGAAAACACCAAAAAACTAAAATAAAATAAAACATACGAGAAACAGCTAGATGGACCAAAATTTCTAAGAGAAGACCTAAAACGTGGAGAAGAGAGCAAAACAATAACTAAAATAGCAATAAAAATAGGACAAATGTTGAGTTAATTATTAGCCATTATCTTCTAATATTTTAGTAAATTTTTTTTCCGTAAGATCAATATGGGCGCCTCCAAACTTTACGAAAATATCGGTTTTGCTATGAAGCCAACCTTCTATATACAATAAATAAACTTATCATATTAATAAAATTATATTAGTGTTATTTAAGTAATCAGAGAATATGGTAGGTTTATTTGTTGTATATAGAAGGTTGGCTCCACTATGGAACCAACTGTTGGCTTCATAGCAAAACCGACGAAAATATTGTCCGGGAGACTAAAACAATTGTGCTCATTGGGTAAACTTAATTATCAAGCTAAATTTTTCCATCCTCATATTACTACACATATCAGTGATCTATTGTGATTTACTAATTGCTTATAATTAAAAATTTAAATTGTTTGAAAATTTATAGTGTGTTTAAAAGTTTCAATTCTCTTTTGATTGTAGGCTAAACATTTTTTTTTCCTCAAAACGTCAAATATTATTGAAAACCAACTCGGAACAATGTACAAATAAGCGTACCGTGCAGCACAAACCTTAGCTACTACAATGTAGCAAAGTTACACGACGAAACATCCCCCACAACAACAGCAAGAAGAAAAAAGAAGAGGTGAGGGAGAAAACCGAATTGCCAAACAACTAAAACAAAGACTAAGAACCTCAAAGAACTAACTACACAAACCAACCCAGAAAAGATACCAAACTAGCAAAGGAAAAGCAAACACATCAACAAGATTTGGTAAAATGTGTAAGGCTACATTAAACTTTCTTTCTCGGTTGTCTGCTGCTACATCTTGTAGAAACTATGTAATTGTCTGCTACAAGTCGATAGTAGTTTGAGAGATTGGTCATTAGTTTTCAGGATATTTAAAGTGAACAGTAATAAATTGTTTTTTCAAGTGTTTGTGTTGATGTAATAAATTGTTTTTTCAAGTATTTGTGTTGATTTTGGTTTTGGAGGTAAGAGAAAGATAGAAAAAATAAATAGTCTTGCTCGCCCTTTTAAACCGTGGTCTTCAAAAATGCGTCCGCTAGGGGTATAATTAGCAGTTTCGATGAGCCATTTGCAGATGCGTTTGATTAAAATGGTTATGCAACATGGAGTATGACATGAAACTCCAATTAATTATAGGAAAAATGAGGAATGGCATTGATTTGATTCGTTTTTCATATTCTGGTTTAAACATATTTGAGTATAATGTTACTGCACATTGTTTAATATTTATTCGTTTCATATCTAATTTTCATACTCCAACAAATGAACAGAGTAACGACCACATCTTCGAAATGACGCTTGATAAGCCATCACTTTAAGGCTAAATTAGCATTGTGAGTTTGAATATTCCTTTGTTAGGTGGCTGATTAATAAACGATAGCTAAACAATTTTCAGCTTTCTCGTTCAGCACTCCTCAGCCCACAGGCAGACTTCACTATTTGTTTGGTATGTGACTATATTCCCAACATATAGTACATAAAAGAAAATGGCTTCTCAATCTTACAAATCCCAAAAGAGAAAAAAAAATAAAAAAAATGATGATTGATTAACAAGAAACTTGAGAAAGGCAAACTAATAACAGTTATCGAACCCAAAACCAAAAGCAACCTTCAAGATTTTGACAAGATGATACAAATGAAGAAGAAAAGGGATTACAAAAAGGATGTATGGACTGAAAGAAAGAAAAGAAAAATGCTCATAATTCAGTTTCAAGCTGGCTATAATTTCCTTTAGCCTTAACAAGTTGATTATGGTGGTGCTTGCAGTAGAGCCTACCCTCATGCGCTATATAGTTTGATGGGCTTATGGTGCACCCTCCATGGCAGCATTTGAAGCAGCTCTTGTGGTATGGAGTCCCGTTCACCGTCACCTATATATATTCATGAAAAAAAAAAAATATTAGAGATGTGGGCAAGAAAAAAACATTAGTTGGCCATTTTTCTCTTTTACAAATTGTACTTTCAAGCCAGTATTGTTGCTAAATCTAAAAACGATCAATGTAGTCGCACGTTTTGTCCATTGCAAATGGAGCTGGAAGAGTCATTGTTGACAATTCTCCTGGCATAGTGCTAATAATGGACTAAATCAAAATGGCTTCTAGTGCTTCTTTAGTGAAGTTTCTAGAAAAAAAATATATATCAAATGGCGCAATGCACCTTGGGTCGCTACGGAAACAGCCTCCTTGTATAATTACAAGGGTAAGGTTTGCGTACAACTGACCCCCAGACCCCAACTTGTTGGGCAACTTGTTGGGAATATACTGGGTATATTGTTGTTGTTGTTGTAGTCGCACGTTTTGTTTAAGATGCATATGCTTACTAGAGCAAGAGAATCTAGTGGAGAAAAATATGATGAAATTTGGACTTTATACATCAAACTTTAGAAACTCAAAGTATTACCTTCTCAATGGGGTAAACTATCTTGTTACAACCCACACATTTGTCCTTTGTACCACCAAACTTGCTTAACACCTTGCTTGCATTCTGTTTCAATACATAACATCTAAATTAGCATCAGGTTGAGCTGTAAATGTAAAAATTTACTCAACATTTTGATCTTGTATGGTATATTATTACATTACATTTAGACCACTATCTTGTTAATGCATTACATCCATTCTAAGAAAACAGAGGAAAAACAGGACATTACATTTACCTCATTTTCAATAACCTTTTCGGGTTTCACGATTTTCGGTGTCCCTAAAAAAAAATAAATTAAACAACATATAATCAGCTGATCAATACAAAGGGGGAAGAACGATAATACAGAAAAAAACTTATGTACCTTCGAAACTTTTGTCGAGACTGCCAGTTCTCTTGAAGAGCTGATCATAATGAGGCCTGCAGTAGAGAACCCCATCAAAGGAGTTAAAGTTTCCCAGCTGCAAGGAATTGTTTTAGAAAAGTAAATAGATATTTTGAGCAGATGTGCATAATAAATGGGATTAATTAGGAGACGCGCCTTAAGGGTGCCTTTGCAATGGTGGCAACGAAAACAGGCCTTGTGATAAACGCGGCTATCAGCTGCAAGTCGGTCCATGAGATAGACGGTACCGCTGCACGCTGTGCATTTCTGGGATGTACCTGCAAATGCCATCTTCGATTCAATGCGAGGGGAAAGAGAACAATGGTGGTCTATTACAACCTTTGTTTGCGCCTCTTTCCCCTTAATTCGATTTTAATCTTGTCTTGTTTTGGTAGAGCTTTTGCAAGTGTTGAAGCATTTTAGTTGAGGAAAAATTTTGATGGGGAGCAGTGAATTGCGGGTGAAGGGATGGGCGTTTAATTCTCATTTTCCCTAATTTTAAGCAATGGCCACTTTGGGTTGTCAACATCTCTCTTATNNATAGCAGTTTCAATGTACTAGTTCCTCTATTTCTGAGTAAATAACGTTGAAGTTTAAAGCTTTAGAATAACGAGATGGCTAGTTTTCGGATAAATTTCCTTTTGGCACCCGAAGTACATCATCTTTTTGCTTTTGGTACCCGAGGATCCAACTTAATAAGTTTTGGGCACTATAGTTTTCATAATTAATCGGTTTTGGTCCAAACATTTAAAAAACTGTTATAATTTACGGGGCGACGAATTTCAACAATTATATACCATTTTGTAGCTCTCGACTTGACCTATCAAACGATACTTTTTATTCTGCCATATGATATCTCAAGATTCATCAAAATCGTCGTTAAATGTTCTACTAATATTTGGCCAAATTGCGCCTCAAAATTTGACCGTGTGCTACCAAAGATCCCACTGTTGGATTTTCATGAATAATATGCTTGATATAGCCATATTATGATATACCGGTTTAAAGATCCTTTACTCGACTGGACGACCGCTCAGATCGCCCCTACGTCGACATGTCCCAGTCGACATACCTAAATCGACTACCGCAATGCCGATTCTTCACAGAATGACCATGAGGAAAGGCGGAATCCCTGCAAGTCAACTCACAGAAGTCGACTACACGTAGTTGACCCCCAGAAGTCGACTCATACTTAAGAGCAGCCATAGCGTATCCTCCGAATATTCGGATAACCCTAAGTGGACCTCATGATACTCGAGGTCGACTTCTCGCACCTCGAGGCGCGAGACGCAATGACGATTCAAGACACTTATGATATCTCTTGAAGCCTCTTATCTTCTAAGTGGATAAGGAGGAATCTTGTCACGACTCAGCAGTGAGAGGAGACGAATCGACCAGAGCAGTTTAGACCTTTCAGGTAAACCGACCAGGGCATTTTGGGTACTTCAAGTAAGTGTTTCCTCTTATATAAAAGAGGTGAGGTAACCCTAAACCCTAACTTCTATTCATTCTACACTCTCCTCTATTGTTGTGGTTGCTCTCTTAGAGCAGCTCTTCATCATCTCTTTCACATACTGACTTGAGCGTCGGAGGCTCTACGTCGGAAACACTTCCGGCGTTGAGTTTTTGCAGGTGTTGCTGCGATCTAGCAACAGTTCGAAGGCGATTCAAGCAGATCTGAGCTCATTACCACCGGTTCACTCTAAATCTGAGAGGATTTCTTGAGGAATCCAAAGGTATGTCCTAATAGTATATCGAATTCCTCGATCACCGAAAATAATCCGACGAAGTATGCTGTTTACCAGCTGCAAACGAAAAATTGAAATCTTCTCCGACTTATATTTGGAGATCGAAGGACTCTATTGATGTTTGGAATACACTGTTTGATTCCTCCTGAAATTGTATTTCTATAAGTACATATTTCATGCGAAAGGAGAGAAACGAACGAAGCGAAGCGAAGGAAAAAGGGAATTGTGAAGCTATGAAAGGGGCTCCTTTGGTGACCGTTAGCCCCTCGGGCACCAGTGGCGAGTCTGGCTAATCGTGAATGAGTCCCCTGTCTGCCATACGGGGGATTCAAGCTAGATTTATGAAATCTGAACTTCTTAACTCGACTCTCAGGCTTCGTTCGTTGGGTCGATAAGTTTCATTGCTCTCGAGGAACCTGAACCCGAATGCCAGTGGTAGGATCGTCGGTAAAACTCGATCAAACATTAAGGCGCATTTTGGTCAAGTTTTTTTTATAACCTTTAACATCAGCTTTTACGAATCTCAAGATATCGTATAGTAAAATAAAAGATACTACCTCCTTTCTTTTTTAAATGTTATTTTGACTTTATCAACAATTAACCAAATAAAAGACATTTTTTTATCTTTTGTACATATTTTTCCATTATTACCCTCATCTAACTAATAAATAAACTACATCTTTTCATATTCACTATTCGTCTTTTCTCAAATCATCCACCTCTATCCTCATTAATGAGGGTTATTATTGACAAAAAAAAAAATCTTAATTACTGTGCAACTTCTCAAAACGACACTTATTAATAAAAGGAGGAAGTACCATTTGATACGTCGATTCGAAAGCTTCAAGACGATATATAAAATTTGTTGAAATTCTTCGCCGAAGGCGAAGGCAGCCGTCAATTTTAATTATTTTTATAATGTTAGGAAAAAAAATGATTAATTTTGAAACCTTTCGTGACTAAAACTGGTTAAATTGAAAACTCAGATACCAAAAGAAAAAAAGTGGTATATTTTGTGTATTGAATTGATTTTTTCCTGCTAATTTCGTATTACATTAAATGATCTCAAATTTCTTAAATTATTAAGTAGATATATCCATTTTATTATTTTTTTTTTCGCTCTCTTTATTTTTTAGATAAAGGCAATCCTTCCCTTAGACTTGCACAGACGCCAAAGGAAAATAACAAACAAAACTAAAAACACATACAAAATAATATAATTAATATATTCCACTAGGGAGACAAGAATACTCCAGTAAATGAGATGGATTACAACAATCACAAAGGTCAACCATAAATCTATACACACATAGGAATAGAAGACAACTTAAACCTATAGTATAGAATAATGTCATTCTCTTCTCCAACAAATTTGTGGCCACTGTTGAGAGACAAAGAGAGAGAGAGACAGAGTTCCCTAAATCTAAAGAGCATAAAACTCACCTTCACCGATTGAAGAGAAGTTCCCTAATATATGTTTTTGTCCTACAAATTGCACAGGCAGCAAGTCTGAGGCAAATAGAAATCTCCAATGGAGTATTTAAGATTTCAAAAGATCACTGTATCTTAATTTGCTGAAGGTCGTACATATATGTCGACCTAAATCAACAGCTTGTTCTACCGGTTTTAGCGGGTTGTCAGACTTCAGTGGTTTGTAAACCCACAAATCTACAAAGAATTGCGATCAATCAACAAAAATTATAACAAAAAGATCACTTGTCCATCTTTTGCCAATAACAAGAGAGCACACAAACTGCTCAAATTGAGCGTGTTACTAATGACGTATCGTCGTATGCCATATTTGATCCATTATAATCCATAAGGCATGTATCTGACTTAACAATTTCAAAAGGCTCTTCAAATGATAGGTAACTCTGTTTATGTAATTAATATAACTAAAGTACAAGTATACAGATAACAAGAGCTAACAAGTGCAGGTAGATATACAATAAGTTTACCAAACTATAAAATATATAAAGGCAACTTGGGATGTAATAACAAAAGGGCATTTGGTCTAGTGGTATGATTCTCGCTTTGGGTGCGAGAGGTCCCGAGTTCGATTCTCGGAATGCCCCCTTTTCTATGTCAAATTATGAGTTCATGACTATAAGGGTATTTTTTTTTCTTTAAAGATTATTTTAGTAAACAATAAAGGCGGTGATATAATAAAGACAGTGGTAGACTGGTAGGTAGCCTTGGAAGAATTTCTACCATTCTTGAACTAATTTTGTTTGAGATTTTTTCTAAATGACACAAATCTTTTTTAGGGTTAGATGCAGAATGGCAATTTATTATGAGTTGATTTGAAATTTCTAATAAATCACCAAGAAAAATATCCAGCTCGAACTTCTTCATGAGCTTAGCCATCATATAAGACGAGTGGCCTTCTTATTCTAAAGATGGTGACAACTATAGAAGATACCCGAAAACTTCACAAAATTGCAAAAAACACCCCGAGGTTTGAGTGGCCGCCTAAACTAATTAAGGAGCGACTGTAATTTATTATAAATGTGAATAGGCATATTGATTTTTTTGTTTCCCCTAATGGAGAGTGTAAGCTTAAAACAAGATGAAACCTCAAGGTCAAGGGTGAATTTTGTCATTTTGAAACTCAGCTATTTTTCATTTTTTTTTTTCTTATCTTACTTTTAATTTGGTCAAAGCTCTTCAAATATGTTCTATTGTAACTTATAATTGTACAAAACAGGGCATTTGGTCTAGTGGTATGATTCTCGCTTCGGGTGCGAGAGGTCCCGAGTTCGATTCTCGGAATGCCCCGTTTCTTTCTCATTTTATTTTAATGTTACATTAGCTTTTATTTTTCTAATCCTTCTATTCTGAATTCAACAGCTAAAATTATGCTGAATTACCAATATATGAAGTTGATAGCAAAATCTAGATTATTATAGCATACCACACAAGTAGCAACCCAAGCTTCCACAGAATTCAAGATCAAGAAACATAATTTTATTGAAACAAGTTTTTGGGAATGACTACAGTTCCGGTGACGGAATGATTCGGTCAATGTTTTTAACCGTAGATACACATGTGGATTAGTGTTTTCCCAATTTTTTTTAGTAAATATCATACCGTAATGTCAAAATAAAAATGATTGGTTGGTTGTAACTCATGGCATCATATAACAGTCAACTTAACAGGATGTGCACAAAAAGATCATATAATATCAATAGTCAGTAGAAAAAGACAAGCAAGAAACCCAAAATGAAGGGTATTTTTTTTACTAATGTAATTCATGGCATCTATATAACAGTCAAATTAACAGGATTTGCACCAAAAGATCATATAATATCAATAGTCGGACAGACAAGCAAGAAACTCAAAATGACGGGTACTTTTTACTAATGTAGAGTTCCAATAACCAAAATCAACAAAAGTTGAGCCTAGGCTGGTTAACTAGACATCATTGACAACAACGGAGGTCTAAGAGCACCAAATATTTTGCTATCTTCAAGAATTGTATGTCGAGCCGTAAATACACGTCGAAATATTTACGCAAAAAGAAAATGGAGATTAAATAAAACACTGTCTAAAGGGCCTCATTGAAACAATCAGAATCAGAATATAGATTCAATTTCGACAAAGTGAAAGAAAGTTATAAGAGCCAATCCAACAATTGAGCCAACACCTTTAGAAGGGGGTGAAAGAATAGATTTTGTAAGGGGATTTTGGAATAAGAAAAAAAGGATTGTTTTAAACATAATTTACCTTTTACATGAAGAAATTAAAACCTCTAAATCCTAGCACGGAATATGACAACATAATATTATAGTCCTTCCTGTCAAACAAATTTTAAAAATAGCACAAGCAGGAATTTACCAAGAAAAGCAGGCGCGCAGTAGTTATTAAACAACAGTTGCAACTTGATAAAAAAAAAACTGGAGACCATAAATAGGCTACATAACCTTTATCCTATTTGAGTGACACTAGAGACAACTAACAGCAAAATTGCTTGAGATAAGCCATTATTCACGGCAGAAATTAATAGGTCAAAGCAGGTATGAAAACAATGAAGTCAAAAGGAAAATTAAAGCAGCAGCAACAGCAGATATAATCTAACTAATAATAGGAAAAATTATTCAACTAAACACTCGCCAAAATCTGAACTTCAACTGAAAATCATACCTACTTTCAGGCGATTCTGAAGAAAAATGGCTTGGTGGCAAATCGACAGAGCACTTAGCAGTTTGAGTTTTTGCCGTCAATGGTGGAGAAGCATCGGCGGAAGTTTGGGTTGGTTGGATGACGATGATATGTAGGGATAATTAGTTAATTACAATTAAGGACTCAAGTTTAATTTAATTGGGGCTAGCTACGATGCACTTTGGTCCGGGCCTGGCCTGAACGGGCCAGATTGGGCCCGCCCATTTTATCAACGAGGCACGATCAAGTATTAGTGT